CACAATTGCTAAACTGTGGAAAGAGCCAAGATGCCCTTCAGCAGACAAATGGATAAAGAAGATGTGGTCCTTGTATGCAATGGCATATCACCAAGCCATCAGAAAGGATGAATACCCAACTTTTATATCAACATGGATGGGACTGAAGGAGATTATGCTGAGTTTAATAAGCCAAGCAGAGAAACTCAATTATCATATGGTTTCACTTACTTGTGGAACATAAGGAATAACATGGAGGACATTAGGAGAAGGAAAGGAAAAGTGAATTGAGGGAAATCGGACAGGGAGATGAAGCATGAAATTGTGAACTCTGAGAAACAAACTGAGGGCTTTGGGGGATGATGAGCCTGGTGGTGGGTGTTTAAGGAGGGCACATATTGCATGGAGCACTGGGTGTGGTGCATAAACAATGAATCTTGGAACACTGGAAAAACAAAATAAAATTTAATACATAAAAAATAAAACTAACCTCAAAAAAAAATCCTGAGTAAAAATTAATTTCAACATAGATTTTTTTATACCTAGCCAAACTATCAAGTGGATACATAGAAAAATGACATTTTCAGGCATGCAGATACTTTAAAAATGTATTATTCATATATTCTTTCTTATGAAAGTTACCTGGAGAATGTACTTTAACTAAAAAAGGAAGTAAACTGAAAAATGGGATGACTTACCAGCCAGAAAACAGGAAACTCTAATAGGATCATGTCTAAGGCTTGACCCAAGACAGAGATCAATGAGGCCAGACATAGGCACCAAGAAGAATATAGCTAGGGGGAAATTTTAAAAGGAACTGATTATTTTTCTGATGTGTTTTGTTATTTGAAAATAAAATATTGATGGGTATTTGACAGATCTGTTTGAACATTGGGGAAGAAATGTCAGGTACCTAAAAAAAAAAAACAAGCTATTCAAAAGTAGGCAGTTAATTCCAGAAATAATAAAATCTTACATAAAAATTGAATCAAAATAATATTTGTCTCAGGAGTGAACAATATTTCTATAATCATTATAATATAAATGAACAAGTGACTAATGATTTAACCAGAATTGTTAGATGGGAGTATGAGATAAGTCTGTTGAGTGACCTAAATTGTTACTTTTTTACTGTAGGAAGTCAGTAGATAATGTTTAATATTGCAAAATCAAGAAATAGTGTTATAAGCATGTCATATAAAATATGAAGATAAATATCAGGAAAGTAGACAGGGTGGGCCATTGAGGATCGGGCTTGGAGATGGGTACAGGGTAGAGCATGGGCACTGCCCTTCTTTGTTACGTACTTTGTTATGTACTTTGTTGAGTACTATTTGACTTAAATTAGGTGAATTACCCTGATACGAAAAACTAATGAATAATAAAAATAAAGTTACATATGTCCATGATCAAGAAGAAAAAAAAACAACTTCCTGTGGTATAGAAGACTATAAACAGTAAAAAGTCTGCCTTTCTCCATAGCTGATCCTTGGTACGATTCTCCTGAGAAAGCCACTTTTAACAGATTCTACTTTTAGTTTTCGTGGTTACATTCAGGACTGGAAGTATATCTTTTGGTAAACTGTAATGCTCTCTGGACTTGTGTTTGCCTAGGTAGCCAGACGATGGGGGCACCAAACTGCGCTGTAGACATTGCAGGTTAATGGAGTACTTTGGGAGTCATGTACCACTGGCCTCTGACTGTTGGTCCTTTATCCCAGAATCACTCTGTACAGCCAGGCAAGCAGTGCTGACCTAGTTGGGTGAGGCAAAGGGTTATCCTGCCAGGGGGAGCATGGCATTTCTGGCAAGAGATCCCTCCTCTGACTGTTGGAGTTGGTGCCATGGCAGATTTTCCTGACTCAGGGAGTAAGTGTTGAGCCCTGGTCCAGCTGGTTAGACTATTTGTTGATTTTGATGATCTGCACCAATAAGCTCTTTTTCTGGCACAATCAGAAGCAGTAATTTTCCATCTTCCTAAGAAAAATGCTTTTTGCATTTTGCAACTGTAATAAAGTTTTATTCCATTTTCCTCTGAATTCTGGGGAAAATTGTATTGAATTAAGTCAAGAACTCTGGTGATAGCCATATATCCTTTGGCCCGTCCATTTTTCTACTTGACCCACCTTGCTCTCCTTGAAAGATCAATAGAGAAAACAAGCAGCAATAATAATACTAGCTGTGTTTTATTCATCTCTTCCTATGTGCTGGACACTCTGATAAGTACTCAGCATCTCATTTAATCTTCCCGATAGCTTTGGGAGCTTGCTACCGCCATTACTCCTGTGTTAAACTGCAGAATCTGATTAACAGTCGAGTGACTTGTCCAAGGTCACAGGACTGGAAAGTGCCAGAGCTGTGTCTGAAGCCCTGATTTGTGTTGACTTTGGGGCCCATGTGTGTTTTGTTTTGTTTTGTTTTTTTCAAGTTTTTATTTAAATTCTAGTTAGTTAACATATATGGTAAAATTGGTTTCAGGTGTAAAATTTAGTGATTCATCACTTACATGTAACGTCCAGTGCTCATGATAATAAGCGGGGGCCCATGTTTTATTTTCTGTGTTTGATTGGCTTTCAGTGCAGCCTCTGACTTTTTGTTATATGAGAACAAGAAAGCAGCTGATTTGTACTCCAAAGGCAATTACCACACAGTGCTTATAAAAATTGTCACATCTTTTCTCTTTAAGAAACTTTGGGATTTTATACATTTTCTCTTATTTTTTGGTATCTTCTAAATTCAGAATTCTGGAATCGCCTCTGATATCTCCTGATACCTCTCCTTTTATTTCCATGTATTCACCAACTTTACGTTCATTTGAAGTGTCTCTATTCTCACGTCTAGAATATTGCAACTCTCTTCGTGGTCTCCCTTCCGCCCACCTCTGCCATCTTAAATTACTCATAAACAGTTGTTTTTTTGTTTTTTGTTTTTTGTTTTTTAAGATTTTATTTATTTATTTGACAGACAGAGATCACAAGTAGGCAGAGAAGCAGGCAGAGAGAGATAGGAGGAAGCAGACTCTCTGCTGAGCAGAGAGCCCGATGTGGGGCTCCATCCCAGGACCTGGGATCATGACCTCAGCCGAAAGCAGAGGCTTTAACCCACTGAGCCACCCAGGTGCCCCCATAAACAGTTGTTTTAAAGAGGAACTTCTCTCATATTGAATTGTTTAAGCCATTAATATCTCTCCATTATCTATAAGAAAAATACAGCTTTATTAATCTGGAAGTAAGTCAAGACCTTTCACGATGCGGTCTCATCTGTCATTCGATGAGTTAATGTGCCCTTCCTTACTTTCTTCCCACTTTTCTTGACCATGCTAATATATCCCTAATCTGACCTATTGGAGCACAGATTTTCTTTACCACTCACTTGTTTCTTATGTATTTTGTATTTTGATAGTTTTGTGTGCGTGTGTACATCTCATTTACCCACCTGAATTGTTAACTCCTGAGTATAGGGATAGAAGCCCTCTGAGCTCACTGTAATACCCAGGATGGTTTCTTGCATATAGCACTGTGTACAAAATTAGTGAGTGAATTTTTGAAGTTTTAAAGTCAACATTATTTCCAATTCTATACACATTTGCTTTTGTTAATTGCATGTTAGGCGAATAAAACTTAATAGACTGATGTTTTTTCATATCTTGAATTATATTAAATTATGGGATTAGAAATAAATTGGTATAACTTTATCAGTTTGAAATATTTTACAGAAACAGATCAGTGGCAGTTAGTATTCTGATCTGAAATATATAGGAAATCTACTCTGAGTGAAAGTGATAGACTCGTTATTGTGTAGGTTTTTGAAACTAAAAATATTTGAGAACTCGTTATAAGTTGTTTTATTAAATTATGGGTAATATACGGTTTTGATGGGGATGAACTGAATATTTATGGTGTAGTAAATGTCAGAAAAACCCGAATCATTATTTTATCTTGCCTGATGTATTAAATGCAGTTGGAAAGTGTTCAGCATATTGTGTAATGACATGAGGAAATTTGAAATGTACTTAAATACTAAGTTTAAAACACTTTACTTAGATATGACTTTGTTTTCCAAAAGGAGATTGCATTTTTGTGAATTAAAATTGCTTCTTGCTTTCTGCTGAATGTGAAAATGTTTCTACCTTTTACTCCCTTTTATTTGATTTTCTGGTTTAAGCACTCTGAATATTTATCTTTCTTTTTTTTTTAAATTATAGATGTTCCATGATAAATATTTCTACTTTAGTGTATAAATTATTTAAAACCTGCATTCTATATAAGGTATTTTTGCTTTGAAATATTTGAGTTTCAGTAAGATAAGGATAATTTCATCCTGAGACCAAATGATAAACTATCATAAATTTTCATTTATTTTAGATGTTCATATTTATTAGTCTTAGAGTGCTTTTGTTACCTTTTTTAGTACCATTTTAGTGTAATATTATTTTATCTCAGAAATCTCATGTGCTCTAAAGGCTTAAAGGTTCTTGTGCCATATTTTTTCCTAAAATATTTTTTCCCCAAATGATATTGAGCATCATAATGATGCCTTCTTTTACACCTCACATTTTTCTAAAAGATGTATTATTTTACCCTTTAATTAGGCTTTCAAAACATCCAAATGAAACCATAAATACACCTTTCAGAGTAGTCCCGTATTTGATATAAATCACTGCATGCATCTGATCTAATCTCACAAACAAAAATGTCATATTTTTAAAGAAGTGACATTTTTAAGTTCATATTTTTTAAAGGGACCGAGCCTTTAATGAAAGTACAGACTATCCATTTTGACTCCTCTCATTTAATCATTTCATTCCTGAAATTAGACTGCATCTTCCGATCCAAAAAAACCTCACTAATGTGCATTTTTGGCTGTGTTCATTCCCTTTGTCATAAAATGGAAGCCAGCCTCAGTTTTCTAATAATTTTTCATCACATTAAAATTCATAGCAAACATAAAAATGAGAGAATTTTGAACTCGAGTGCATAGAGTTGATACGGATGCCTCCCCCGCTCTCCCCTCCACCTAAGGAAATAGAGAAATTGAGATCAGAAGTGAGTGAGAGCAAGCAGCACTTGGAACAGGAGCAGCAGAAGGCAGCCCGGGCCAGGGAGGAGTGCCGGAAACTGACGGAGCTGCTGAGCGAATCCGAGCGCCAACTGCACCTCACCAGGTACTCCCCAGTCCCATCTCGCGCCAGAGCCCCCTTCCGGCCCGCCGGTGTCTGCCGCCGGCTTCCCTACAGTCGCTCCAGTTAGTCTTAGCCGCCCGACTCACACACGGCTTTCAGGCATATTAAGAAAAGTGGAGACGTGGTAAGCAAAACACCCAGACATGTGAATGATAAGTGTGGCAGGGATTACGGATATATTACAAAACCTTTCATCGACAGCGCTCAAATGTCGAGGAGGTTCTCTACCAATAGGAGCAACGTGCCATATTTCTCCTACCGCCGCCACTACCTCTCCTGTTAATTCTGTGTCTAATAAAAATGTCGAAGTGAGAGATCTGAGGAATATGTCTGGGAGAAGAATCAGATTCTGTCAGTGGTGAACGAGACAAAGTAAAAGACACCCTCGGGTGCAGGCTGAGACGGAATGGAGAGAAAATACAGAACTTGAGTCCTAGGGAGGTATAGAAGTGAGAGAGGAGCTTGATTGACAGGGTTCGCATTCAAACCGTGATTATAACCGTGCTCTCGTGGTTTCGAGTTACGTGGTTTCTGTCACAAGATACTGCGACGTGATTATCAATGTCATACAACTTTAGGGAACGTGTGGCTCAGCCCTAGGTGACAAGGAGACATTTTAGGTAGCAGCACTATATAATCCGCTGTATGGAAAAGGCACGCATGCACACACGCACGCACGCCTACACACAAATGCACATACACAGAGGAAATTCAGATAGAGGTAGCAGAAATTTCACATTACCAGAGAAGTGGTTTCTTCTCACTTCGGGTTTTAGTACAGTTTTTCATGTTTCACAGCAAGCATTTGGGTTTGTTCAGCTCTGAAGAGTTTTTCAGTTTTTATGGAGAGCTTTGTCTAAATACACATGGAAGTTTATGAGCTTTGGTTTGGTTCACAAATTAGAAAAACGCTGGCCTTCTAATCATAGTAATATGTTGAATTTAAACTATGAAAGGGGACTGATCCCTTTTACATTAAATATGACAATGTAATTCTGAGCACGGTATGATAACAGATGGAGAAAAGCACCACTTGAACAGCCTGCGTTTCGAGAAAAAAATATCCTAGAGGTTGGTGAACCTCCCAAAGTTTTGGGTTAGTGTTAAGATGCCTGTAGTTCTGTTAAAATCAAACTTTGTTAAAAACATTTTGTTATGATAATATTCCAAATGGTTTGCCAACTTCCCTTTTTAAACGGTGAAAGAGAAAAGGAGGAGAAAGGGAACAAGCATGAAAGAAAAGAAATCCTTTATACACATGTGATATCTGGAAAAATCCCAAGAGATAAAACACTTTTATGAGAAGAAATTGCCTAATACGGTAGAATAAGAACGGTTCTTTTAGTGCCCATTCGAAGCATTGTCTTGTCTAACTGAGAACGTAAAATGTTAAAACAGTTCCTATGGATTATTTAATCCCAGAAGTTTCGAAATTTAGCTTCATCATGATAGTTAATAGTTTTTCTCCTGTCAGACTTCTGTTGGGAAACAAGCATTTGTGTGCTAAGCACTACTAACCCACAGAAATAGGACGGCTTTCAAAGTCTCAGTGTGGCTAAGCTTCAGTAAATAAATATTAATGCTGGTTTTGTCCCCTTCGCCATTCTGTCTTATTCAGAGAGTTAATTTCTGAAGTCAGAGTCCTCCAGGGAATTTTCCTGTGCAGTATCAATTTGTACTGTCTGACAAGACCAGTTTCTTGCAAATAGAGCATATTTAAGGTACAGCAACTGCTGAAAATGGACTAGTGGTAACTAATTCCTTTGTTCTTGAGAAAAACGGTTTTGCTTGGTTCCATAGAAAGCTTTTTCTGTTGAGCTTTATTTACAGCAAGTCTACAAAAATTGAAAACTAGTTTTAGGGAAAAATAAAACTTAATTACCCATTTTCTAAGTGCAGTACTCTTTTGTAAGCATTTCACATTTAGTCTGTGTTCGTGTTTTATAAAATCCACATTCATAAATTTAAAGATGACAATTAAAAATGCAGAGAACTGCGTGTAGCTCTCTTTTGCACTGAAAATGTGGCTTGGTTGTTGGGCTAAATATTTCTGATAGACTTTTTTGGGCTTTTTTAGAGTTCGCTTTTCCTCGACAGTCTTTATTGATTCAGTACAGTCAAGTGTGTGGCTGAGAAACATTATGTCTTTCTTTCCTCGCGTAGACCAGCCGAAATAAATCCCACACAGGTAGCTTAGTGTTAACGTAAACATTTCAAATGACGTAGTCTGCACAAAGTTTAAAATCAAATATGAAAGCCATGTTACAAGTAATGATGAAGAATGCAGATCTCCCAGGGCGAAGAAAATTTAAAAACTGGAGTATTGATCTATAGATCCGTCTGAAAGAAAAATAAGCTATCACGCGTCTGTTATTTCCCTTTATTGTCTAATTAGATTTAAAAATGGAAAATAGAGGGGTGCCTGGCTGGCTCAGTCGGTACAGCATGTGATTCTTAATCTTGGGGTTGTGAGTTCGAGCCCCATGTGTGGGCATAGGGATTACTTTAAAAAATGGAAAATAGAAATTCAACATTTATTGAAAGACCCAACCAGTAAGTGTAACATTTACCCAGTCAGCAGATACTTATTGAACACCTACTATCTTTCAGGTGCATTGCTTGGTCTTGGGTAGGGAGAAAAAAATCAGATTCAGTTTTAACCCTTAGGCTTCTCACACTCTACCAAGCCAGCTGCATATATGCAGTTACAATCAAGTGTGAGAATACTGAAGTAATAGAAATACAGCTACCACAGGAGCACATAAGAAGGAGAATTGGCTCACTACATTGGACGTGAAGATGATGGGGAAAGCTTTCTGGAGGAGGGATGTTTGGTAGCTATTTTGAGTAATGAGCTCATGAATAGCAGTTCTCAAAGTGGAAGAAGCTGGGGTGGGTACCCCGGTGGCTGGACCAATATATACAGAGACGTAAAGATGGGACGGGACACAAACTCTACAATCAGGTTAGGTGTGTGGCAGGGGATAAGCCTGGAAAAGGCAAACGAGGATTAGAGGAAGGGCCTTGTCTATATTCTGGAGTCTTGGCCATTCTGAGAGTCATGGGTTACTCCTGATATATTTTTAAGATCATGTCAACATGGTCACGTCTTTGGGACGGCATTTTGACTCAGCAGTGTGGAGAGTAAACTTGGAGAGCTGATGTAGGAAACAGGAAGACCAATTGGGCAGAGTCAGCAACTACAGCCTATAAATATGGCCCGTTGTCTCTTTCTGTCTGTGAGCTAAAAATGGTTCTTGTATTTTTTAAGTAGCTGGGGAAAAAACAAAAGAAAAATAATGTTTTATAACACATAAAGATTATATACCCATAAATAAAGTTTTATTGGACACAGCCATGATTATCCTTTATGCATTACGTATTGGGGCTATCATGGCGAAATTGAGTATGGTCCTCAAAGCCTTCAAGTATTTATTGTCTGGCCCTTAACAATTTACTAACCCCTCAGTTAGGAGGCTGTGTAATTCAAGTAAGAAGTCAAGAGAGCTTGAACTCTAAACGGGTTCAAATATGTATTTAAAGAAGATAAATGAAGAGTAATTGAAGACAGATTACCTGAGGAAGAGATGATTGACAGGGCCCCTGATTAGAATATAAGTCCCAGTCCAAGGGGTAATAATGATGTCCTGCGCCGTGGCTTTGCTGGTAAAATGGAAGGGAAATAGCATCTTTATGAGGAATTTAGGGTAGCAAATGAGAGGGGCCAGAATTAAAGATGACTCCAATGTTTTTAGCCTACGATAACTATGTGAATTATTATTTTCAGTAGGGGACTTAAAAGGAGTAAAAGAGGGAAATAATACACTGTATTTTGGGACTCGGGTGGAGATGTGCAGTGTAGGTCCAGTTTGAGGAAAAAGGTCAGGACCTGAGTCTCTCTCTTCTTTGGATGCTTTTACATAAAGCTACTAGGTGTAGCCAAGGAAATGGGTGAAAGCATGAGAGAGCTGTGACCTTAAGAGTGGGAGAGTGGAGAGCTGCCAGCCAAGGAGACCTAAGAAGTCATCCATGCCTAAGAAAGAATACGGAATGTTGGGAGCAAAGCCACATGCTTTTCTTCGGGGACTCCCCGGGCCTCCGGGTGTTGAGGAAGCCGAGTTTTAGAATCTTCTCCTGGGCATTCGCCATCTTTGCAACATTTGACACGTTACTTAATTCTTTGAACCTGCTTGTTTACATATAAAATGAGGCTACAACCTGATTTCTAAGTTTCCATCTAGCTCTGATCGTCAATGATCCTAATGGTGATTGATGACATCTCATGATGAAGTGCCCATTTCATGATGTTGGGCATTTAATTTGCCAGGAGTATTCTTTAAGATGTTTTCTTAGGGGGCCTCTGGGTGGCTCACTTGGTTGAGCGTCTGACTCTTGATTTTGACTCAGGTCATGATCTCAGGGTCCTGAGATTGAGCCCCGTGTCGGACTCTGCACTCAACGGGGAGTCTCCTTGAGTTTCTTTCCCCTTCTCCCTCTACCCCTGCCCCACCCTTCTCTCTCTAAAATAAATAAATAAATCTTTTTTAAAAAGAGATGTTTTCTTAGTTTGAACTTCAGAGAGATTTCATGGAGACGTGCCATTTGCATTCATCATAACTTGGCCCCTCCTGACCTCTCACAAGGGTCATGGACCCTTCCAGCCCTTTTCACCTGGCACTGCCAATTCAGTATTCCTAACAACTGTCTTGACTCTGTCACTTGCTCCTGAAACCTTCCCTGGCATCACACTATTGCAAAAGGTCCAGACCACTCGCAGGTAACGTTCCGAGACAGGGTCCCAGTCTTCTAGTTTCATCATCGTAGTCATGAGCTCACGTCACAAGCCAAGTTGCACTTTGGGGCTTTTTTCCCCTTCGTTATTCTCTACACCTAGAATACCCCTTTGACCTTCTCTAGCCCTATGATAATATTACCTCCTTTTTCCAGGTCGCTCTGAAATCCTGATTTTACCACTGTAGCCC